TTCATTTCCGCATTGCGATTTTCATGTTGCGATTTCATTTCCGCATTGCGATTTTCATGTTGGGATTTTCATTTCGCGTTGCGATTGTATTTTCCGTGTTGCGATAGTCAAATGCATGCCTAATAGTGATAACAACTGAATAACAAGAGTTGGTTAAGTCAAAATGGTTGGCCTGAGTCATTAATTCAACTGAAAATGTTAAAAGTTCACACATAAAATCCACATAATACAACGTTTGCATTTAAAAATCACCTAAGTTAACAGTCTCAAAGGTGAAGCCAATCGTGATTGGGATTTTAAAGATGAGTGCCTTTTGCTTGACACCATATGAGCTTTGGATTTTGATGAGGATCCATATTTTGGTAGAGGAAAAGATGATTTTGATGGCACTGGTGATCCACATGTCAACCTTGTATGACCACTTTCCTTGCACCGACTACATGTCGATCTCTTCTTCTCTTCACCCTTAGACGGTATACGATCGTGACTTTTTGGTCGGCCAGGTAGCCTTCTGTCCATGGCTGGTGGCAAAACTGTTTGTAAGTCATCTGGTATGTCCCACTCAGAAGGATGTGGAATAGGGTAGACAATCTCGGCATAAGTCTGTCGATAAACTTCTGTAGTGTAGCAATCCATAGCGTATGCGCTTGAATCATCTTGGTTTAAATGAAGAGCAACTTTTATAACATGGCCACACGGATAACCAGATGTTTGCCATTTCATACAACTACACGTCTTTGCATTTAGATCGACTAGCCCATTTAAGTTATTATCCAGTACTTGAAACAAAGTGTTTGAACATGGTTCAACTCTCCATGACGTTGACTTCACAACACGTTTCGTTATCTTTTTTTCAGTCCATGGTGTAACACGATGTTCCAATGTTCCTGTAAATTTAAATAAACAATACTTAGTAAAATATATAATATGATAAGTTACGAATTCAAAGAAATAATACCTGCATGGTTTCTTTTCTTGTAGTACCACTGTTGAATAGAGGCTCGAAAAAACTCCATTAACATAGTAATGGGTAATTTCCGGGAATGACGACTTAGAGCGTTGATTGATTCTGCACTATTAGACGTCATGAAACCATATCTTGCTCCAAGTTGATGTACTCTTGACCATCTTTCAAACCCGACATCTTCTAGTGTTTGAGCACACTGAGGCAAAACACGTCTTAAACAATTTATATGCTTATTGAAATCCACTTCCCGATAAGCTTTTACAGCCTTCCAGTATGTCCATTTGTGCTTTTTTATACCAGCAGACCTTGATTTTAGATTTCTATACAAATGAACACCACAAAGTCCATGAAAAGCATCTGGGAAACACCTTCTAACAGCGTTGTCAATTGAGTTTGCCCTATCGGATATGATTGTCAGATTGCTAATAGGACCTATGCAATCCCTAAGATGCCCCATAAACCATGTCCATGAATCAGAGGTTTCAGATTTGCCAACCCCGTAAGCTATTGGCAATATCCCATTGTTAGCATCCATGGCTACTGCTAATAAGTTTACTCCAAGGTATCGACCTTTCAAATGTGCTCCGTCAACTATAATAACTGGGCGCATGCAAGTAATAAACGAACGAATCTACAAAATAATATACACAAGAAATATAATCATTTAAATGTGAAATGCATGTAACTAACAAAAATGAGTCAACAAAATTATATTGATTTACTAACCGTAGCACCAATGGCGATAAACAGCAACTCAAAGCGTCCATCTCTATCTGTTTTGATATGAGTTACCGACCCAGGATTTTTCAGCTTTAAATTGTGACAATAAGCCGGCAGTTGGGCAAACGATGCTTCTGGCGACCCCCTCAACAATTCCAAGGCATAACATTTGGCTCTCCAAGCTTGAGAATATGATATACTAATCTTGAACCGAGCATTCATGTCAGTCATAATTTCATGTCCCCGATATACCCTGCCATTCAAAAACATTAACTCAGCCAGAAAACCACCCAACACCTTTTTGTTTGCCTGTCTATGGTGAGGAAAAACTTGGGTTCTTGAACATGTATGTTTATCAATAAAAGTCCTAACTTGAAACATTTTGCAATCTTTTATTCTCTTTGCAATCATACGCCACGTACAGTTTTTGTCAATCATACACCTTGTTTCGAAACGATCTTTGCTTGATTTGTTAACTTTTAGTTGATAGCCATCTTCCACACATTTTGTATACAAAGCTATCTTCAAGTCTTCCTTTGTATCAAAACAATCATCTTTCTTGACACGAATAACTTTTGTGTAACAATCAACTGCTTTCTTTGCCAACTCTTCTTCCGGTAACTGAAGTAATTCTGGCATATTCCAGTTATACTCCCGTGGCATTTTCTTTTCTTCGGGGACTTTTTCTTCTTCTTTTTCTTCTTCAGGATTATATGAATTACAGAATGGATGTTCAACATGTTCATTCACAGTCGTAACTTCCTCCTCATTATCATCAACAACATCTTCCTCGGCAACGGGTGTTTCATCATCAAAATTCGGGTATTGACCAATATTAAAATCATTACACACATGGTCTGTTTCTTCTTCTGAAACATCATCAAAATCCGTGTATTGACCAATATCAAAGTCCGGATATTGACCAAGACCAAATTTCGAATACTGACTAGTACTTACAATTTTTTCTGTTGGCTCATCATCGTCTAACTGGTCAATACGAAAACCGGAATTTGGTGCTGAAAGTTGATTGGGATTTGGATTAGAGAAAGGTTGTGGGTTTTGAGAAAAACTTAGTTGATTACTACCCGCTACTGACCCAACAATACTACTTCTAGGTTCAACAACATACAATGTAACATCATCTTGTGAAACACTAATGTAAGCAATGAATCGTTCAACATCTTCATTGTCGGTTAACAAATAAACTTTACCATTTCTCTGATAAGATAGCCTAAATCCACTTAGGGGCTCTAAATTCAATTTATTTGAAACACGTAGCATTAGAGTTTCATAAGTTAACTTTTGTAAAGACAATTTTAGTTGAAGATTCATGGGTAAAGGCATATATTGTAAAACACCATGAACATTATCCCATGACCCTCCAAAACACAAATCTATCCAAACATGATCAGATGATTTCATGGTTGTAAATTAATTTACTAAACAGACGAGCTGCGAAACTAAAACCTGTTGCCGGATTGGGAAGGATGTCGTTGGATATAGGAACGGATGTCGCCGGAGAGAGTGATAGATGGAGATGGAATGAGTTGCGATTTAGGGATTTAGTTTATGATTTCAGTGTTATATACCCAAAATTTCAGTGTTGTGATTTACAGATTCTCGTTGCGATTTACGGATTATCGTTGCGATTTACAGATTCTCGTTGCGATTTACGGATTATCGTTGCGATTTACGGATACGCGTTGCGATTTACGGATTATCGTTGCGATTTACGGATACGCGTTGCGATTTACGGATACGCATTGCGATTTACGGATACGCGTTGCGATTTACGGATACACGTTGCGATTTACGGATACGCGTTGCGATTTTATGTATTATCGTTGCGATTTACGGATACGCGTTGCGATATACGGATACGCATTGCGATTTACCCATACGCGTTGCGATTTTACGGATACACGTTGCGATTTACGGATACGCGTTGCGATTTATGTGTTCGCGTTGCGATTTTCATATTCGCGTTGCGATTATTGAAAATCGCAATGCGAATTTGTACTATCGCATCGCGATTTTCAAGAATCGCGTTGCGATTTTGGAAACTGATTTGCGATTCTGGGGATCGCGTTGCGATTTTTATTTCGCGTTGCGATTTTGTTGGTCATTTTGGCAAATCCAAAAAAAGTTGGTTAAAATCGTATATTATAACTTTTTTTTGGTCACTGAGGCGATTTTCTCATAAAATAAATAGAAGGAAGAGATATACCGGTCAAGGGGGTCAAATTATTATTTTGGTTCTTGTATTGTACTTAAATTTTAGATTTAGTTTTTATATTTAGATCTAATCCTTTACTTTGATATTAATTTACTAGTCAACACCGTTAAGTTGACATGATTTGAAAATAGTGTTCTGAAGAAATAATAAAGGGGCTAAATCCTAAATTGTAGGATAGTAAAAAGACCAGAAGTTATCGACAAACAATTGGTCTAGAAGGATAAGGTACTAGATTCTTTAAACAAGGTCAAATGTTCGAATTCTGGTGTTTGTATATAAAGCAAACTAGGTTAATAGGGCCACCCTTATAATGAATTTCTATAAAGCTCAATTTGGATGGATGGGTCGGTTATTAAACCAGAAATCGGTGATTAATTTTTTTTAAACAAAACTAGAAGTTGAGTACCATAATTTGACATTTTAAAGGATCCATCAACAGTAAATTTACATATATACTCTCTTATGATAAATAGAGACGAAATGAAGATGAAATATTATGAAGGATACAATTTATTACCTCAAAGAGTAATGATATATTAAGTATTTAAACCCGAAAAATGAAGATGATAGTGCTTAATTGATGTTTAGCTTGAGAGGGACCATAAATATTATTAGACCAAAACTTTCAGGATCCACGTGGTTCAGTCCCGGCCGATAATGCGAGTTTCCTCCTTTTGGTCTTTTCATTTAAAACAAAAGATATGAAGCATTATAAATACGTACAATGATGGATGGGTGGAGATTCGTTATCTTGAAATATTAAAATTATTATATATTTTAAATTTTTTAATATATATTTTTTTTAAAATATGTTTTCGTATTCTAAAATTTTATAAATTTAAGTTAGTTACAAATTCATCCCAACATAAAATTTGTTTACCTACACCGCTCCTACACAGGCAGTCCATACCTAAAACTTGAATTCAATTCTACTTTAGCAGATAATATCTGTGTTTTCTCTTAGCAATTCATTAATCTATTAACAAAATGCAAGTCCCCGAAAATTGTTCAGTAAAATATGGTACTAGTTTTACTTCGAAGAAAAAATAGAGGAATAAGAGAGACCAGTACACATACCTTAATAGCAATGTTAGGAGTTGGTGGCTTAGTAGCAATGTAGAAGACAAGCAACGCAAGCCCCAAGCTCAACACCAGCCTCCAACAAATTTGCAAAGAAATCCAAGCGCAAGAACTAGAGCTCCTAAAAGAACAATACCTCCACCACCACCCTTTTCCATCATCATCTTCATCTTCATCATCGTCTTCATCTTCGTCATTCTGATCGTCACCGTGACCGACCTTGTCGATGATGACGAGACGGTTGAACCCTCCTTTGTCACCGGAGGTGGCGGCGGCTGCAACAATGCTTTTGTCGTGCAGGAAGGAGTTGTTCGACCCGTGAGAGGACGAGTAGCGCGAAAGGGTGAAGCGAGCAACGTCGGGATTCTTGTTGAGGATGTTCGACTCGGAAGGAGTCGGGGAGTGGAAATGGAGAGTAACGGCGGGTTGGTCTTCCATGGAGGTGTTGCGGACGTCGGTGCTGTTTGCATGGGAGACGGTGGAAGGGCTTTGAACGTAGTATGCACATGGATAGGAGTGGAACATCAAAGCTTCTTGGTCTTCATGATGACCGTAAGTTTCCATTGCCTGAATTGGAGATGATATTCTACAAGAACCAGGCATGAAAAATAGAGAGGAACGCACAAAGAAATGTATATTTATATTGTTTTACAGTACCATGAATACTAAAAGAAACTTATTTTTAAGGAAAAAAAACTTAATTTGGTAATTCTAAAATATAACAAAGATTAAATTATATATTTTTCACGTAAATTCAAAACATAACAAGTTAATATTTTTTTACAAAGTTACCCCTCTGTAAAGACTAAATTTCTCACTTTTACAATAGAAAAAACTAAATTATCCTTAATCCCATAGTACAGGCACCAACATGGTAATTTAGGCGAAGCAATTATAGTAGAATTTGCTTTTCTAAAGGGAAGAAGAAAAAACAATGAAATTATAGGGGCATTAAAGGGAAAAACATGATCCGAAAATGAGGGAGGGGGAGATATCCTTGGATCTGCTTTACACCGAATTGTCTGAAATCTCAATCATGCTATATCCTAGGAATGATAGCAAAGTAAGCACGCTTTAGCATTCCCTTTAATTTTTCTTCTTAATTAATTAATGTTCGTTTAAAAAGTATCCTAATTTTCTTCCCTTTCCAAAAAAGAAAAAAATAGAAAATCAATAAATAAAAAAGGGCTAGCGTAGAAGAATATTATATTTATGGAGAACATCAAATATTAGGGTGCATATTAAAGTACACTTCAAACAGAATATCTCTTCAACTATAGCAATCAGTCATAAATCCACGAACTAAACAACTTTAGTGATATAAAATATTGTTATTGGTTAAAATATCAGGTCTGAGTATTAAAAATATCAACGGCGTGAACGTTTAGTATCAAATAGTTAATAATTATCTTTAAATAAATAATACATTATACTTATCCAATATTAATAAAAAAAGAAGACTATAGTCATACACAATTTATTGCTTGAACCTCCTCAACATTCATATTTTCTTTTTTTACAATTCAACATTCATAATCTTATTTCTTACTCTATTGCTTTTTTATATAGCTTTTAGGATAAATTAATAATTCATCCATTTATTCTTATATTTTTATTTTGGTCATTAAATTATTTTCTCAAAATTATATTTGATGTTGCATTTTTAAAATTTTGATTTTATTTGATCAATAAAAAAATGACGTCTGCCATTACCTTATGGGAATAAAATTTATGGGGATAATGAGATTTAATCCCTACCTCCTTAGTCGGTGGGATCGAATCCCATCATTCTTATAAATTTTATTCCAATAAGATAGTGACACATGTCACTATCTTATTTATATAATAAAATTTATTTAAAGATATTGTTATTTATATGGAAATAAGAAAATTAAAAATGCAACGTCAATATTAAAAATAATTAAAAAATAATATAATAATATACTAACATTATCGTTAGTGTTTTAACAGTAGATAACTAAAACAAAAACAAAAATATAACATTATGTATAATTTAAGAAAAATAATTAAATGATTAAAATAGAAAATCAGTAATATATAGATAAATAAATAGATAGTTTATCCTAAATTATGTTTACAGGAGAGATGGAGAAAAGTGCAAGGAAAGAAAAGAAAAGATTAATTAATGATACATATTAAGGATGACAAATGGCTTGGTTTGCAAGGGATGGTGAATTGCCATACAAGCTTAAAAGTTTGATAAGGACGGGACGAGGGGTGCTTGCGGATATAGTCGTATTTCTTGAAATTTTTAAATTCTCTTAAATTTTATTTTTTTTAATTTTCTAATAATTATCTAATTTTGTACCCTTAAAACTTTTAATATAATTTCTTTAAGTTCGTCCCTATAACTAGGGATATGCATGGGACTTGAACCCGACGGGTTATGATCCGATCGGGTTGGATTGGGATTTTTAAAAAAATTGGGTTCGGGTTGGGCCGGGTTCGAGTTTAGGGTGAAAAATACCCGATCCGACCCGAAAAATAATAATTTTACCTTATATGTTTAAAAATAATTACAATAATACCCTCTATATATTATTATTATTTAATTAAATCAATGTTTTTTATTGAATAAAAATAATATTTTTATTATTATTTCGAGTCGGGTCGGATTTTTAAGTTATATATCGGGTCAGGTTCAGGTCGGGTGGAATCTTGTTTTGATCGAGACAGGTCGGATCTCGGGCGGATAATTGCTTGTTCTTGGGTCCGACCCAATGCAATCCCTACCTGTAACTATGTTGCCAACTTGCCCTATCATCATGGAATATATATATATGATTACAGTAATAGTGAGAATAAACATTACGAAAATAATTGTCTAAAGGCAACGGCGATGATCCGGGCAGCTTTCGCTTTTATCATACACTCCACTATTCATCCATCATCATCACAGCCATCCAAATATCCAAGTGCTTCTCATTATTATTTAATTATTTATTTTCTTCTCATTTCTCTGCAATATATATTCCAAACACTGGCAGAAGAAAAAGCAAAAAAATAAAAAAAAATTGACAGATATATAGCATGCCATATATATCACATGATTATACTTATAATATATAAATATAGTTGTATAAAGCTTGATCATGGCATTATACAATCACATTAATTGTATATATGTTTGGTCCAATAAATTTGGCATGCTCTCTATTCAGAGTGAAGCCATAAACATTTTTCACGAGTCTTAAGAGGGCATTGAAAATGGATGAAAGTGGAAGGCACTTATTACTGCATGTGCCTCACTCTCACATGATCCTAGTGGGCTCTTTAATATATATATATATATATATATATATGCATCGAGAATCACTGAATTAACATGAAAATATAACTCAATCATTAAACTTTGAGTTTATATCAGCAAAAAAATTGATTGTTAATTTGTGTTTATGTTTCTGATCTGCCTTTATTAAGCTTTGTTTGCACGAATGTTTGTTGGTGTTAAGTGGAAGGCACTTGATGCCCCTTAAGCAATATGTGTTGGTATTTTTTTTTGAATTTTTATTTATTCAAGTAGAAATGTTTGAGTCAATTTGAATTTTAGTTCGGGAGGTGAAGTATTAGTTAATCTATGTAAAAGATTAAATAATTGCCTTTATGGATCAAATCAGTCGAATTTTGTATGATCATTACCAACCTAATTCACGTACAATTCGAAATAAATAAAACAAAAACTAAATGCTTGATGAAATTAAACGATAGTGCTGCTCCTTGTGTTGTCCAGAAGTTTGAACCACTGGCTCGAAGGATTACGTGTGTTGTCTTTATTCATGCATTTTGCAATTGTTTGTGATGATAGTGTTGTCTGAAACTGCATCGAGGCAAATGAAATTTCTATCTTTGAGTTTAGTCGAGAGATGCATCTTGGAATCGGATATCATTTCTCATTTTGAATTTGAACCGGTGCAGAAGATGCCGAGTTTTAGCGATGACCCATTCATCGGCATGTAAACAAAAATGTGCTCCTGACCTCCTGTTACTAGTAAAGTCTTCCGAGGGGAGTAACTCCAAGCGTAGGAGTCAGTGCATGGACCTAACTGCAATCGATGGACGTGTTAGAGTTTGATCGAATTCAAAGTTACACAAATTAATTAAATTAATCGGGAAAAGTAAGAAACCTAGTTTGATTAAAAGTAAAAAAAAAATCCGTTTTTAGAAAATCTGCTAAGTATATCTCTAGTTTATAAATTTCCTTTATCTCTAAAAATAGATACTAAGGATTAGGGCTAGAGATTAAGGTTGTCCAAGAGGACTCCTCTTGTATTCTTCTTCTTTTGATATTAGTAAATTTTCTCCTCTTTTGTCCGTGGTTTTTTTAAGAAAGGATTTTCACGAAAAATCTTAATGTCTAGTTTATTGGACGATCATTATGCATGTGATTATCTTCTAACATAAAAAATGATTTTCTTGTGATACAAAGCTCCGTAAAGGGATGGAAGATCACTTTGTGCAGTTTGGTTACTAACAGACCTGGACCTGCATAACTCATTGCGGAATAATGAAAGCTTTGTATCAAATTTTCTATTGACGTCAATCTAGAATAAAAGGAAAATAATATACCTCGGCTTACCTCGGAGAGGAGCTTGGAGAGCTGAAATTCTTTGTCTGAAGCTTTAATTCCTGGGAGCTCGTTCGTCAAGCTCATTCGACCACCGTTGAATAAGGTGGCCATCCGAGTCAGGCCGGTGATCCATTGATCGGATTCGAGATTGAAGCACTTGTCACCGAAGAATCCATTGTCATCTAAATTACTGCAGCACCAATCGGGTTTGTTTATGCGATTGTCAAGTATGACCATGAAATTGTTTTTCCCTAAGCTTGACACCACTGTCTGAAATATAAATACTAATATTTTTATTCAATCAATAAATCAATGCCGTAAAGTTTGGTTTATTAAATACTAATGGGAGAAAACAAGGAGTTGGAAAATCTGTCATACCTGAAAACATCTGTTGTTTAGCCAATGGTGCTTTAGTGTATCTGCGATACTTGAAAGCTTCACTCTATGCTTATCATCTACTTGTTGATTGGTTAGTCTGTTGGAAAGTGTATCATTCAGTTGATGCAACATCTCAATTCAGTTAGAATAAAGATCATAGTCTGTGATGAAATTAAAATTTTTAAAGTTTAGGTCGTGAAACAAGGATGTGATTAGTATATATGTGTATAGTTTTAGATGAAATTTAAACATTCAAAATTTTGGAGACCAATTTTGAATGTAGTTCATAGTCTGAGGATGAATTTGAAATGCTCAAAAGTTTAAGGACTGGTTTGAAATAATAGTAGTAGATTAGGGATGAAATTAAAATATTTAAAAATTTAGAAACCGATTTAAAATAAAAGACATACTTTGAGGATACGCGATGCAGTTAACTCTTATTATTATTATTATTATTATTGATGGGGAGTTTACGGAGTCTAGATTAATGAATCGGCCCTTCTCAGCCTTTCCACAAATAACAAGAACTCTACCTTCAAATTATTCCCTTAATTTGTACATAAAATCAAACGTACAATCAACAACATATAATCTTTTTTTTTAATTTCGTCTTTCTCTATTTCTGTATCACTATTCACATTTAATTTCTCTTGGAGAAGGGACGATAATGGTTCTTGCACTGAGCCCCCTGCATGGTCCATGCTTATATACTGTTACATTTTACGTACATCACCCGTGCTAATCTTCGCCTATTTATCCTTATTCCAATACGTCCCACATTAGGCAAACCCTAAAGTTAAACCCAATAGGGAAGATAAGAGGTGGGGAGGAAGTGAAGAATATCTCGTATATGTGGCTTTGTGTAGTTATTCAACTTGGAAATCAAGGAGATTTGGGAAAGAAGATATATTATCCATCAAACCCTCAAAATCCCATTCTCCCATTTTCAAGTTTTCCCCTCCCCAATGATGATTTTCTACCCCAAACATGTCCCCTACTTTAATGCTCTTATGATCGGTGTTGTTGAAGCAAGTATTATTATTATGATTCTGGTGGTGGTTGTTATTGCTTTTCCTATCATCGATGCTGTTTTTAATGGCTGCAGCATTGTTATCTTCAGTACTTCTACTCCCAAGTGGAGGCACAGAATATTCGCCTTCAAACCCTAATTTCCCAGGCTCCAGATTCCCATAATCCCCATAAAATGATGCCTCCCCCAAACCATCCTGTGTTACGCATGTGGTCACGTCTCGTAAACCTGGTGCACCCGTCGTGCCGTAACGGTTGTTGATATCGAGCAGCGGAACCATCTGCGGCATGGATATTGTGGATGATGAAGAAATCGAGTCCAAGCAAAAGGTCATGGGATGATGATGTTCGCGCAGAGGGAAAATCCTTCCTGCAACAACATCTCGGGGCGGCTCCAATGAATCGCTGTTGTAGGGTGATGAAGATGTGGATGTGCTGTTTTTCAATCTTTTCTTCAGTGTTGAGTTCCAGAAATTCTTTATTTCGTTATCTGTCCTCCCCGGGAGACGAGCAGCAATTTGAGCCCACCTGCAAATTTTTTAACCAGTCAAAATAATGAGACGTGCATGCATCTATCCATCTATACATAATCTATAATATAAATTTTCAAAAGGAGATGTTAAAAATTTGTTTTTTGGCAACAAATTTTAGGTTTAGGGCATTTCAATCGAACATGAAACGATCATATCTGAAAATGAAACCCCAGAAAATATGAGTGGCGATGCATGCTGCTGGTCTGTGGACAGCTATTTGGGGACAATAGCTTGAAGCTCTATTCAAGTAGAGAATGTGGTATATTTGAAAAGCAATTATGAAGCAAAACAAACAGCTAATAAAGCTTCAGTAGGGTTCAAAAGTAGCCTGAAATCTATAGATCAAGAGTATTATATTGAACGGGATTGAACAGCCTCCCGTGCATACAACCACCAACGCATGATTTTACGTAGGAGATATAAATATATAAAAATTTAAGGAGCTAAAATATATTTTAAGTATAAAATATGAAAATAGTATCTAAAACATATCAAAATTTAAAAAAATTAAGAGAAGATCGTTATCCCACCCCTTCAATCCATTCATATATACGTTAATGAAGAGATCTCAACCACATAAGAAACGACCGGTGTTTCACAATGTTGTTCAATATACACCAATGATATCACCATTAATGCATGTGGCGGTGACATCACTATGGTAACTGCGAAATTCAATCTCAATTTAGTAGTACGAGAGAATTTTAAAAGAGAAATAGAACCTGTTGCCGAGGATGGAATGCAAGTGAACGATGAGGTCTTCCTCTTGGGGACAGAAGGCGCCGCGCTTGAGATCGGGTCTCAAGTAATTAATCCAACGAAGGCGACAACTCTTGCCGCACCTCTGCAAACCGGCATTCTTAGCAATGTCACTCCAACAGCCATGGCCACTGTTCAGCATGTACTTCATCAGTTTCTCGTCCTCTTCTGGTGACCACAATCCCTTCCTCAGCTTCATCTTGTTGTTGTTGTTCTTAGTTCTGTCTTTTGTTGCCATATTTTGATCGGGCTTCCTAATTGCCGTGATGGGTCTCGATCTGATTTAGTGGAGCCTTTTTCCTCCTTTTAACTGGCTCGAAGGAGATAAGAGAGAGGAATAATATAGGTGAATTATGGTCGCATTGAAGACAGAGAAAGAGAAAGCTTGATGGGGTGGTAATGGTGATGATGATAGCGATGGTTGTGGGGTATATTTGCTTTAAAATATGACTATGAGTGGAATAGTTATGGTTTCAGTCCCTTTGTTATGCCAAAAACTGAGATTTACTCTCCCTGCTTTAGATTGGACATAATTTGGTCCCTCTAATTCTATAATGTTTTAAGCATTTTCAAATTGGTAACATGATTAGAGATTATATGTGTTTCTCTACCGCGGTTCGGTTACACAATTAGAACTACATGAAAATCTGACAAACCGTATCCAATCACTAATATATTTGCATGTAAGTTGAATGCTTAATATTGATTTTGTTCGTACCAATCGATCAAAATAAGGTACGACCACTTTCCTGGGTTGTGTTGCATCCACGCCTGAGCACAAGCAAAAATTGTCCTCTTTATCGTCTGCTGTATTAATTGACTAAACTAAATTGGACACTACATATGTTTATTATAGGTAGATATTGTCAAAATACTCGAACCTGATTCGAACCTGACCCAATCTTATAAGGGAATTTTTTTTAAAAATCAAGGATCGGTGCCGGACGGGCTGGGTTATATTGTATATAATTTCGGGACAGGATGAGACCGGTTTTAAGGTAAAAAAAATTGACTTAACCCGACCCGGTATAAATTATTATTTTATCTTATATATATATAATATTTAAAATTATAGGGATTTTTAATTTTGTATTATTAAAATATATTCTTTAATTATTAAAAATAAAAATATTATAAAAATATTATTTTAATTATTTTAAAATATTAATTTATTTGGATTAGATCGGGTTAGAGTTGGGGTTTTAATCTAAAATTCGAGGCGGGATCGGGGAGAAAGAAAATCTAAAATTTATCTGGGCGGTGCGAGGTACTCGAGTTTAGCGAATATATTTTTGGGTCGGGGTCGAGGCTGCAAAAAATAGTCCCAATCTGCCCCGTGTCCATCCCTAATTATGGGACGACCCTCTCAGACCAATTTATTTTCATTCACAACGTTAAGATTCAAACCTGTAATTTTATTTAAGGGATCTTAGTGTCTTATTATGCTAGATCAACTTGAACCTAGGGTTATAAATTAGACGAGACAGATCGCGAGCTACTCGAGATCAACTCTGTCAAAGCTCGATAAATACCCAATCAAATGGACTCGACTCGAGTTCTTAACGAGCCGAAACGAGCTACTTGATACTCGAATCGAAAAGCTCGTGAGCGGCTTGAAAATATAATATATTAAGATTTTATTTTATTTAAAATAAACTGCTAATAATATTAACATTTATGTGTTGATTTTAAAAAAAATACAATATAAGGTTTTCATGTATTTAAGATTCAGGTTCGAGTTTGAGTTTGAGGCTTCAATCGAGTTAAGTTTAAGATTTTTTTTTCATTTCAAGCATTTTTGAGCTTTTACGAGTTTTAGTTCATGATTTCGAGTTCGAGTTGAACTTGAAAATTTTAGGCTATCAAGTTTTCGAGTCAAGTCGAGCTCTCATTGTTTTCGAGTCGAGGTCAGCAATACTCGAGCTCAACTCGGCTCGTTTACAACCCTACTTGAACCCGCTAATAATATCATGAAGTAAATAGATTAAACTTTAAATTTTAACATAATAGAGGGACCAAAAAATAAGATTACATATGTGTGAGAGAGCAAGAGTTGGTTGGTTGATGGGTAGAGTGGAAAACGGATTGGAGGGGGACCTCAGTCCTAGGACTGGGATGCGATGGTTGGTCGTCTTGTCTTTGACTCTATCCTGTCTTTTTCGATGCATTTTTCTTCACTCACAAGCTAATCATCATATCTCTACGAGACACAGCCTGTTTTGCTTCCACTTCACATAATGCTCTCTCTCTCTTGGTGAATATGAGACACAATGCATGGTTTATTTTTGCAGAAAATGAAACCAAACCTTCCTTCTTTTGGCTTAAAGCATTCTTTTCTTTCAAGCCACCTTTCTATTAATAGTAAAGTAGCTCAGCACTATAATATATATTCTGCAATGATACCTAATAAAATATATAAAGTAAGCAACTTATAAATCCAGCAACAGAGGCAAATTTTTATGTTAATGAGGACGATCTTGAACTTATAAAATTATAAGAGGGGTGAAAATAAATTTTTAATAGAAAATACATATATAAAATTTAAAATATATGATAATTTTAAATTTTTAAGGAGGCGGCCACCCCACCAGCCCCGCTTAGGTCCATGACTGTATACAGCCAAATGATATGATTATCATCAAACCAGACATTAATAATAATTATTGTTACTGTTGAGTGCTACTAATATTTGTATATTTCTTAAAGTTGTGTTGCAAATTGCTATACATTGATTGTAATACCAAAAAAAAAAACTCTATGCAGCAAGTAACATCTTGTCCAAATTGCCTTATTTCTCATTTATTAAATGGACCCAAACTTATTTTGGAATTTTTAATGCTACCTTATTTTAGTTCTTTATTCACACAAATATGACACAGACATGACAACGTGTTCCTATACCCAGGCATGATTACTCTATGTTGCTTTATCAATCAGGGTTCCCTTCACTTGATTAACAAAAATGTGACATAAGGTCGGTCCATATATGATATATAGTACTCCAAAACTTCCCTTGTCTATATAATATAAAGATATATATTATGTTTCCCTTTACTTACCAAATTCGTCTCCCCTTCTTCATGTGAAGAATGGGCATATTCACTTATCGTTCCACCCCAACTTATTTTATATGAGAGGGATCTTAGTCAAATATACTTGAGGTATATATATATATATATATATATATATATAATGTTTCTTTTTTTATTAATCGGATAGATATAAAGCATTATCTGTTTAAAAATATATCTTGAATGCTCACATCCCCAACGGTATTTTATTTTTTATAGTTATATAACTCTAAAAAAATTGACATTGAGCGATCACACCCTTAATATTTTTAGTACTTAAACTCGAAACCTCAAAGAATAATAATAATTTTTTTACCCTCAAAGTTGTTTGATTCGTGGATATTTTATATATGTTGTATTGTGTGGACATAGATTGCCACAAATTGTGGCAAAAAGTGAAGGGAAAACTCTCAAGCGACTCAAAAGTTTTCAAAGTATTATTTCTTCATCATATCACCAGCCGTCAAGGGGAAAAATATTTTTCATACTTGTAAGGGTTCCAAGCAACAAACTAAATATTTTAAAAATGACAAGAAAAAGAACACCCCACACACATATATTTGTAGATATTTATTGATGTTTAAATGAATATTAGTTGATCAGTTTATATATGATATAATGTTGGCTTACATGGACATAACATATATAATAAATAAATAGTTGTATATTATTTATTATCATAAAGTAGTAGTTCATGTTAAGGTGATTTAATACGGTTAAGGTTAATTAGACTCGGGTAAAGAAATAAGGTATGAATCGCATGTGTGTAAATATCCAAATAACTAATTTCTAATTGATGATGGGCTAATTAGAATTTAAGAATGATGTGCTAGGTTATTTATTAGGATTATGTCTACAAACTAAGAATGAGTCCAGTTGGATAGGGTAAGTCAAATATTTTTATCCTAAATTTAAATTCGATCATACCCAAATTTGTACTCCAAAAAATGACATAATCCAACCTGACCCAAATTTGAATTTTTGAAAATCTTTGGCCTAATAGAATTGGATTTGATCGAAATCTGTTAGATTTAAGTCTCATGCTCCTCCCTAATTATGATTCAGTATTATTTTATATTAGGAAGAAATAAAAATATTAATTTCATTTATAAGTCTTAGAAGTTTATCACTAAATAAATATATAACATGAATTAAAAATCTTTTTGATAAAAAAAGATAATCTTATTAAAGAGAAATAAAATTGTTGGAAATTTCGACGAGCCCAACACACCAACTATAGAGGACCTAGAATATACCACTCACACTACACAACCACTTTTGATGTTGATTAGCCTTTTATTTTTAAAATTCTTAGTGCACAATAATACTTAGGCGACAAGGCCGACCATATATCATTCAGGTGGTATAAACGATCATGTATCAATCAGGCGGTAGAGTCGACCATATAATAGAACTAACACAAGTGCACTAAGAACTTAGAATCAACTATGGCTTAACCGGGTAACTTAAGAGAAGAGAAAACTTTTATTGATATAAAATACAATTACAATATTACCTAGTTACCCCACTACTTTACATGTGTTTATCTCTAAAGCTCTCTTTTTCTAGCTCAAACTTTGGGCTAGGGTGTGCAAAAATATCCAACCTGGTTGACCCGACCCGCCGACCTGGATCTAAAAAAACTGGGTAATTTTCTTAAAAAAAATTACCTGATCGGGTCAGGTACAAAACCCAACACTTTTCGGGTCGGGCCCGAGTCACAAAAATTGATTTTTTTCTGGTACCCCGTTACCTGAGTACCCGGTTAAGTTATATATATATATATATATATATCATTTATAAAATACTTATACACCCGTGACCCGTCCTCCTCCTCCCACCCCACCCAGTTTCTGATTGAAATCCTTAAAGGGCAAAGGTTGCACGCTGCATGCTTCAGACCTGATAAATTTGATGATAAATTTGATATTTTTGTTACTCATTTGATGTTATGGTTTCCTCCCATGAGAACTATGGGAAATCAGACTTTGTCAACGTTGCTAAAGTGAAGGCTCTATACAGTGAGCTTAATATCAAGGTTTGATGTTATTCAGGATTTCTTCCTGGAACATAAAAAGAAAGCAAGAAATGTTGTGTGGTTAATTTATTTCCTATTGTTATTTTTATTGAAGGGGTGTATTCGAGGAGTACAAAAGCTCAAGCTATGAGAAGCTTGTAACCTCAATTGATGGTCATCCTAGCAAAGCAGTGCAAGCAGTGTTGAAGTCCTTCTTGGCGAAGATTTACAAGAGGCAAAATAGAGTATGCAGTTTCCAAAAATGAAGGTATCTAGAGCATTCTCCACTGTTATATTCTATCCTCATTTATTTATCTTTAAATGTTATAATCAATCTTCTTCTTGTAATTTATTCCGATAAACATATGGTTCCGATTTTAAAAAATTAAGTAGAGTTCATTCCTAGCCGATTGAAAAAGTTAAGCCAAAATAGGATGCATGCTCATGTCTATTGATTGTGGTTATTTGGATTAACTTTTCTGGCCTTTATTATATAATCACTTGATGCTCATGTAAGATGGCTTTTCCTGGTACTAATGGTGAATTGTTTGTTGTCTGATGATGGTTTTGTTGATATTTGAGAAATGGATTTTCTTTTCTTTTATATGGATTATTAAAGTATATACAACCATATCAGCTAATATCAACACAGAACTGTTGTGTTAGTAATATATGCCACTGTTACTACCATACTGAAATTAAATATAAACTTTTAGTTATGAACTTTTATGTTTTATTTATTTTATGGATTATTATATTTTGTATTTTGAACTTTTAAATTTTGTGTTTAGATGTTGGACTATATAATTCGAAGTTTCGAATATTTAAATTTGTGTGTTTTTTATTTAATAATTTAAAAGTACATGGATTTCCACACCCCTACTTTTGGCACAATTTTCTCACTTTTTCACTCTTCTTACAATGGTAAAAACTCACTCCTTTTTATAGTTTATAGTGGTCATTAGATTGTTGACACATGTCAACATCTTAACCATTTAACATTAAAAATATATATATTCTTCAAATAGATAATTTTAGATACAATATTAAATAATATAAATATCTATATTTTTCATGGATATTTTTACACATATACCATTTCCTTTTTATTCTGGAATATTCATAATATATAGAAGACAATGCAAATCCTAAAGAATTTTATGTTTCATTTAGTGTGTATATACACACACTAAATGAAACATAAAATTCTTTAGGATTTGCATTGTCTTATAACAAAAACTATAAAAGGGGGGCACGGGTTGGACATGAGGGTTTATTGATCTCGCATATGTTCTTTGCAGAAGATAGTATAGTGTTTGATGAGGCCTTTATTCTGGGTGGATGTCTAAAGTTGTAAAAGAGTCTAGTATTGTTGAACGTGACTTGAAAATTTTGAAATGGAGTTCGACTCGACTCGAAAACTAACGAGTTTAAAATTTTTAAGCTCGACTCGAACTTGAAATCATGAATTAAAGTTAAAAAAGGCTCGAAATAAATAACTTTTTTATTAAACTTAACTCAATTGAAGCTTCAAACTCAAACCTAAACCTTAAATATACAAAAACCTTATATTGCATTTTAAAAAAATCAAAACATAAATGTTGATATTACTAATAATTTATTTTTCAAAAAAAAAAATCTTAATATATTATATTTTCGAGTTGCTCGCGAGCTTTTCAAGTCGAGTATCAAGTAACTCGTTTCGGCTCGATAAGAACTCGAGTCAAACTCGAGCTCAAGTCAAGTATTTATCAAGCTTTGACTGAGTCAATATTGAATAACTCACGATCTGTCTTATCTCACTTACAATTCTAACAATATCTCGAAAGACGTAATTATTAAATACGAAAATATTTTCGAGTAATTAGTAAATTTTGACAAGTTATTAATCTATTAAATTCTAAACCCTAAATCTTAAATCCTAAAAACTACAAAGTTTTGAATTAATTAACATACCAACAACCATTGGAAATAACTGGTTTAGCTCGTTCCAAGAGAGGCCAAGCAAAGATGTTAAGTTTGCAACATCATTTGGGCCTCTAACTTCACATAGAGAAGGCGCAGCACTAGAAAATGTGACATTTTTGCCTCAAGTCCAAGCCATGGGACAGTGTGCTTCATATAATTACTTCATATTGTTCACATCCAAAAATTATATTTTAGTATCTGCCCAAAACACATCTATGATGAACAACCTAAATTGCACCTTATAGAGCAACTAAATGACCATAACTCAATCTTCCAATTTATCCTAGTTGCAGGGATGGACCGAGTAGTTTAGGTATTTTGGACAATCATTCCTATGAAAATTTTAAATTCTTATACAATCTAAGTATTTTCTTTGTATTTTTTATTGACAAATTGTTTTCATTTCTAAAATTTTATAAATCTGTCTCAACATAAAATCTTATGCCCGTCAATGTCTAGTTGATTGCACTTCATCATCTACCGCAATTGGAGTTGTTGTGGGGCTTGTGCTCGCCGGCCATGCCCTTTGGATTCCAAATGTCGTTGATGCTGGCATTGTGGAAGCCCAGGCCATCACCTCATGCATTCGACTCACATCGGAGATGTCTGGTCTACTGTAGTGGTCGAGAGTGATTAGGCAAATTTAGTGCGCCAGTTAATGTCATGTTGCATTGATATTTCAGTGGCAAGCTTTCATCTTATGGAAGCATTACGGCTCCTGCAAGTTCATCGCCATATCTTGGCCCGCTACGTACGCCGCCGTATCGCAAATGTCGCCACCCATATTCTCGTTCAGTGGGCAACATCTTCTAGTTATCCTTTGTATTTTTCATATGATTCTTCTACTTCTATTGCTAATACTGTGCGTCTCATGATGCCCTTTTTGCCTACTTTAATACGTAAACCGTTATTTAAAAAAAAAACTTAGTATGTTATTATAATACTAACAAATATTATATTATATTTTATTATTAAAGATTTTGATAAATATATTTTATTAATTAATATTTTATTTATTAAAATGATATTAAAAAATGATATTATTATTAAATATAAAAATAATTTATTTTAGATATTTATATTTCAAAGTGAGAATTGTCCGTCCAGCTCAGTTGGTAGAGCACAAGGCTCTTAACCTTAGGGTCGTGGGATCGAGTCCCACGGGGGGTAATTCATAATTTGGAGGTCTTCACGGAAGCTACTCTCAACCTAGCGTTGGGGGCAGCCTACTATCATACCTCCCCTTTATCCCATTACATATGAGAATAAGAGTCAGCTCATTTTTATATTTCGAAGTGAAATTTTTATAGAAATATCTTATGAAAAATCTGATCATACGTCAGTTTTCAAAAGATATAAAAAAACATTAATCATAAAAATAAATTATGATCAATTTATTTTCTATCATGATACTTAAAAATATTTTTCTGAAAAGTAATTACAATAAAATAAACCGACCCTAAATTAAAATGATGAGTAAAAAGATCGAATCATAATAAAAAGAAAAAGGCCGTTGATCCGGATCCAGGCATGAAAAAGCTTAACCATCACATGGCACGAAATGCTGGGCAGTACCTTGTGAATAAGTAAACGTACAACGGACAACAAGTAATAATAACAAGGGAAAATTCCATAAAATATCACTGAACTTTAGGCATTATATCATTTATACCATTAAACTTTTACTTTTGTCTATTGTAACATTGAATTTTAATTTTCGTTTCAATTATACCGTTGGGACGTTAAATCGTTAACAATCTAATCAAATGATATCGTTTTTGTGAGGTGTCTACGTTAGCAGTAGGAAACCACGTTGACAGCCGTCAATTACATCATCGTGCCATTAACGATTTAACGGTTTAATAGTATAATTGAAATGAAAATCAAAATTCGGTGATGTGACTGAAAAAATTGAAAGTTCAATGGTGTAAATGATACAACACCTAAAGTTCAGTGATATCTAATGTAGTTTTACCATGATGATAATAATAATAAACTGAAACCCCCAACGGTCAGAAGAAATAATAAATAAACAATAATAGAGAAGAAATCCCAATAACGTTCACTTTTATCACTCTCCGTTCCCACTTACAATAAACTCAGCTTCTGCTTCTCTCCCAAATTTCTCTTGATTCGCGTAATGGAACCAGCAAAAATCGACTGGAACAGAATAGACTCCCGCTTCATCGTAGATTACGCTTACGAACACATCGACGCTCCTAAATGGGTTGATTTCTTGGCCATTGATCAACAATCCATTGACGATGATGCCTGGTTCTGCACTCCCGGTACCACTCCCATTCTTTTTTCTCCTCTCAATCCACTTCATTTCTTCACCATTTTCACTTTTATTCTGATCTTGGTATTATTATGCAGATTGTGATCATCCCAGGACCGCGCAGGATTTTCTTGAAGCCTCGCCTCTTTCCAAGGCTCCTCGACGAGCGGTTACGGGCGGAGGAAGTCGAAGCTCCCCATTTCGCGTATTGAATCAAGGGTATTAATCGGAACGTGATTAGCTTTACGACATGTTTAATTTAATGTTGTTTTCCGAACTTCACTTACTTTCAATTTCGGGGCATATTTTGTTTTAGAGGAGCTAAACCGAAGAGAAGAGGGCAAACCCCAACCCAAATTCAATCGAAGATTGATGATGGTGAAAACCAGAACCCGAATTTGTCAATTCCTCCGATGGATCAGCAAGCTAAGTCTTTGAAAGCGGCAATCAAGTCGAGCAGCGAAAGAAAGAAATCGATGGTTAGGGATGACATTTCCCAATCCCAAATTGACGAGATGCAACGGCTGAAGAGTACTTCGTTGAGTAGGAACTTGTTTGCTAGTAGGGATATACTGAGTCATATAAGCGAGTTTTGCAACGAGTTGAAGAAATTGGCGACCAGGGCAAGGGAGAGAGAAACAGAGGGGAAAATGGGTGAGGAGAAGATTCAAGCCCAAGAGGCTGTGGTGGTGGAGAAAGAGAGGAAGCCATTGTTTGAATTGGGTCAAGAAAAAATTAAAAAGTAAGTTCAATCAAATGTTAAATTCAAAAGACTGCTCTGGGTTGTTGATTTTGATTTTGATTATGTATAGTGTGATTAGAAAAGTTGGATTATGTTGTAGGGAAAGTTGCAGAAGCAGAACACAGGAGGCAGATACAGAAAACATGGCGCCTCCTCTCTCTCTTAATATAGAGAATGTAAAGCACAAAGACAAAGGAGGATTGCTCCAAATAAGAACCAATCCACCTTCACCACAGAGCTTTTCAGCCCCAACCAAAACCACTACCCCTTCTAATGCTCCCAGATCCAGGCTGATGGTATGCAACATATGCAAAATCATATGGTTCCTTTCAATGATTTGTTTATATTTATGAGGCTTACAATGTATGCATCCCCAGGAGAATGGGATCCTTCAAGAAGTGAAGCAAAACATGGATATGAAAACAGACAAACCAGGAAGCAGTGTCTCTTCTACTTCTGTTATTACTGATGTTAATGTTACGGATGGAAGACAAACAAGAGCTTTGGATGTGTTTTGGTTCCTCAAGCCTTGCACACTGTCTGAGTAAACAAGTTGGTAGATCCGACAACAAACGAACTCAGACGCCTTCATTTTTTTTTTCATTCTTTGATTCTTATCCCTGAAAACTTCTCTGTTCACAGCTCCATATTCGAAAGTGTTAGCTCTATAGCTCTCTCTCTCTCTATTAACTGTAATTCCTTGATTCTTTTGTTGTTGATAGATAAGAAGCTGTAATCGATTCGTTTAATAATTGCATTGAAAACCTTTTCTCAGTGAATAAATGCTAACCTTGATTCTTTTTGCCGCTCTCTTTTTCTTTTTCTTGGCTGCTGCAATATCAGTTTAATCAATGCCTCTAGCATCTTTCGGATTTCTTTCGCAAGTCGCATTTCCGATGATAATTCTCCTCCGCATATTGAGGTCTTAGGAATCTCATATCTTCCGTATCATTACAATCACTTGACGTGATTATTGTCAAATCCCGTTACCGACTAAATTTGCTATATGATGACTATATCTAAACACCCCATCGAGCTACAAATAGTCATCATCATCCTACGCATATCTACAGAACCACACCTGTAGTTCTCCACTCAAATTAAAAGGATGAACTGTGAGACATCACCATAATCCAATTCTATCGGAAGAGTGAATACTAAAGAAAGCTCTACTGTCTTGTTTTATGACAACACTGTAATTTTTTCCTCCCTCATATTGTTAGCATTTAGCAACACATACATACAAACAATTTCTCACATTATCTTTATCTAATTTCTTCCTAGATAAGGTAAGGATGTAGGAGCAAAACCCAAAGACAAAAAAAAAAAAATTGTCATAGCCTGCTAACATGCATACGACAAGGATTACATAGCTAAAAATGCCTCCCTTACCTCTTGGCAGGCAATAATAAAGTGGCTTTAAATTCTGGGGCACCCTATTATAATCTTTAACAATATTTATATAAACAAACATGAAAGTAAAAGGCTTCTAAACCCTAATGTTTGGAGTAAGATTGATCAATCAAGTTCATACAAGCATTAATTATAGCTGGGGGAAAGGCCAAATACAGATTCAAAATTCTAAACCCATTCACCAACAAATACAATAACATCAAAAACCCTAAACGTTGGGGGGATCAAAGCTACAAATCTCACAAGCATAATATTCAAGAAGATTGGTAAAAGAGTTCAACAAACAACGCTCACCAATCACCATACGAGTCCCCACAAAAGGTATATACATATCCAAGAAACATATATGGAACTACCAAAAGAATGTTTTCGACTTTATTCCCTGCTAGAAGAAGAGCCTTACCATATGCACAGTGAAAGAGACGCCTGATTCTTCAAGTAGTAGGTTAGAACATAAGTCAATCTAACCCTAATCTAGAGTCAAGTTGCAAAGCATGCAATCCAAGACCCGAGACCAGACGAGGCGTGCACGTGGGTAGAGCCTGTGGGTATACACACGCGACTCCCTTACCAGATCCTCCATGGTCTCCACAAAGAGATTCAAGCTTCTCACGGGTGGAACGTACAGAATCAAAGGCGCCGCAGAGAAAGCAATTGTGAATAACAGCTGCAACATCACGTCGCTTATGCAATTCCAATGAAGCAGAGCAACAACAACAACAAAAAACCCAAACTAATTTGAAGTAACAGAGTTGCAGAAAGTTTTGGAGATGGCCCAGACTGTTGAAAGCTTTAATTTGTTGAGAAAATTAGAGGGATGCAGGGAGAAGGTCCTTTAAATTAATTGTTGTCGATGTGGAATATATATTATCACAAGTAATTGGATGGAACACGGAAGAAAAAAGTGCGTAAAAGTAAACGGGTAAGATGGCAGGAAGATAAACAGCAACTTCTGGAAATATGAAGAAACGGTAATATAAAATAGTTATATATTCATTGAAGATTCAACTGCACTGATTTAACTTAATCATAAGTATTAAAAAGTCACTACTTTTAAAATTGGTAAACTACCTACCTATTCATTTATTTTCGTGTTTATGTTTTAATCATTTAATTATAATACGTTTTTGTTCTGTTTTGATTAAATACAGATCGAGCCTAAAAACACTTAAAATAATTTAGCCATGTAAGCCTCACAAACACCCCCTTAAACTTGATCGACAAATAATTCGAAGGTCTGAGATGAAAGTTTTTAAAAATTATATGTTGTAGTTTGAGTTATGGGAATGATATCTATTGTTCGAGACAACCCGAGCCTAAACGATTTATCAATGAGAGAAAAATGATCCTCAATTAATCAAGAAAGAAGGAATCAGAGAAGAGGAAATCTTTTTGACTCGTCCAAAATTGCACCACATGAACCCGACAATTTTGGCCCAATACCGTAGGTGAGTTAATTATTTAGCCCAATACGACATCAAATATTTTATTTTGGGAATTACGACATTTGTTACAGTGACTTGGAACTCGTCACGTACGCATGACGAGTTTTAATAAAGTAAATTTTTTATTGAAACTTGTTATTCCGATTGAATAAAAATTATTATTTGGGTAAACTCGTCATGTAAGCCTGACAAGTTTGGCATGCACTATAACATTTACCGTAGATCCCAAATTAATTTTGAAAATTATCTAATAGGCTAATTTTTTTTACCAGCATAGTCTATTGGGTCAATTTTGCCACAGGAAACCCCATAGTTTGTATAGTCATTGCCACTGACCACGTTGATACAGTATGTTCTAACCCTGTCGAGTCCAATGCAAGAGTTTTATACATCAATATTATTAGACTTTATGTATACTACATGTGTGTTGATACTGATTGGGACTACTCTTGTACCACAACAATCTCATTACCGATCTCTTATTCACAAACGTATCATAGATCAGTTTGTCCCATTAATGCACAAACAACATCAAAAAAAAAAAAAATTGGACATGCAGCTATCCTTGAATAGAGACTTGGCACCCTCATTTTTCAAGATCTGAGAGAATGCATCAAGTAAGCTCTTGTACTTGACAGCTTCACCAGAGGTCATCATCATTCTTCTACGAACAGTGTCGATCGGGTAGGATGCAAGGCTAGCACCATTAGTGATGAGCCAGCCAAGGGCAAAGCTAGCGAAGAAACTATCCTGCAATTACCAGGGGGGAAACAGAGAGCGATATGTCACTACAACATTAAATTATAAAAGTAACATTTACAAGCTCAATGAAAGAAATTGATAATCCAGAGTTAGAAATAAAGCATTGATTAAGGATATAACAAGAAAACAAGATTCATATCAAACCAAAGAAGTCATAATTATATGGAAAACCTTTAAAATCCTAGGCTATCAAACAACATGCTAACCTGCAAATTTCCGGTCAAAAATATACACCACGGTAAACAAAGATTCCAACACATGATATATTGAAACCACGGTAAAGCCCAGCAATACCATCAGATTTTAAGGTCTTGCTGTAAACATCGACAAGGCCGTTGAATTGCCTCTCGCCTCCCTTCTTTGCAGCCTTTGCGTCATTGGCAAGACGGGCTCGAGCATAGTCCAAGGAATAGACAAACAGAAGGGAAGAAGCACCAGCAGCACCACCTGATGCCAAGTTCCCAGCAATCCATTTCCAGTAACCATCTTTGTCTTTCTTGAAGTTGAAAAGCCTCTTTAAGTAATCCTTGAAAGCAAAGTTCAAGGCCTGTTGCCAAAGGAACAAAGTGGTCGTCATACAACACAAGCAATCAAATTAATCTAAACATAAGTTCTAATGACCATGCTTAACCTGAGTGGGGAAATAACGAATAACATTTGCAGTGTTTCCCCTCCACAAAGATCCAAATCCTTCATCTTGAATTATTCGCTTGAAACAATCACCAATACCTTTGTAGGGTTCAGAAAGCCTGCCACTTTTAATCATTTCATTCTGGTTCTGAATCAAAAGCTTAACACGCTCAATTGGGGCCGCCAGCTGTCTTAGACACAGCAGCAGAAACACCACCCATTAGGAAATCAATAGCAAAGCTGGCAAACCCTTTTTCCGCAGGGGCTTGAACACAAACAGCAGATGATGAAGGAAACATAGATAGGTCACTGATAGCTCCACAAGCTCGGACAGTAGGATACTGCAGTGCAGCATTGGAGTAATTCCGATATACAGCATGCCTTTGATATAGAGCAGGCCAACAGATAGACCTATCTGTTGAAAGGAAACAAAACATGGGCCGCTATGACATGGGCGGCTATCAAAATTATTAAGCTTGAAAATGTTGAATTTTCAAATGGTAAAAATGTTAATTTAGTCATTGTACTTTTAGGGTATTTATAAGATTAGTCATTTAGTTTCAACTATAAATACCCTAGCTCATTTAGCTTTAAAACCATCCCAAATCATTCTAGCTTTCTTCCAATACTAGAGAATTTAGAGAGTTTCTTGAGAGTTGTTTTCTCCTTTTTATCAATAGAGAATTATCATTGTTTTCTCCTTGGTAGATCGAGAGAAGTTGTAATTCCTATTTTCTTATAGTGAAATTCTTCTACCGTTGCCCGTGGTTTTTACCCTATATTATTTAGGGGTTTTCCACGTAAATTTTGTGTCTCTTTTATCTTCAATTTTATTTTCTCAAATTATCAGTTGTGATTTTGCTCTATCTGATAGCCGTCTTCCGCAACAATTGGTATCCGAGCCAGATTTGAGTGAAAGTAAGAAGGTATTACCCATTCTTTGAAGGTTCCAAAGAAATATTCACGATAGTGAAATAGTGGGAGCTATCTGTAATAGAAGTTATGGCAACGAAATTTGATATTGAAAAATTCAATGGGAGAAATTTCTAATTGTGAAAATTAAAAATGAAGGTCATCCTGAGGAAAGACAGTTGTCTAGCAGCTATCAGTGAAAGGCCGGTGGATTTCATAGATGACAGCAAATGGAACGAGATGGATGGAAATGCTATGGCAAACTTTCATCTAGCATTAGCAGATGAAGTATTGCAATCATCGAGGAGAAGAAGACAGCTAAGGAGATATGAGATCATCTCACCAAATTGTACGAGGCCACATCGTTGCACAATAAAATTTTCCTTAAGAGGAAATTGTACACTCTCCGAATGTCAAAATCTATTTCAGTGACGGAGCACTGAAATACACTGAACACTTTATTTTCTCAGCTTACATCCTTAAGTTGTAAAATAGGAGAACAAGAACGTGCTGAACTTCTACTTCAAAGTCTACCGGATTCGTATGATCAACTCATCATCAACTTGACAAACAATAATGTCACCAGTCTAGTCTTCGATGACGTTACAGCTGCTGTTCTACAAGAAGAAAATCGGCGCAAGAACAAGGAAGACAGACAAGTAAATCTGCAACAAGCAGAGGCATTGATAACGATGAGAGGGAGATCAACAGAACGTGGCCAAAGCAGCAGTCACAAACATGGTAGATCGAAGTCGAGAAGCAAGAAGAATTTAAAGTGCTATCATTGTGGAAAGAAGGGTCACTTGAAGAAGGATTGTTGGAGTCTCAATAAAAACTCCAATCCACAAGGCAATACCGCAAACACTTCAGATGATGGAGATGCTCTATGCTGTGAAGCGTCAACCACCGTGGAAGGCAGAAAAAGATTTGCAGATATATGACTCATTGATTCGGGAGCAACATATCACATGACCTCAAGAAGAGAATGGTTCCATCATTATGAACCTGTCTCAGGAGGATCTGTGTATAGTTGCAATGATCATGCCTTAGATATCGTTGGCGTGGGAACCATCAAATTAAAGATGTATGATGGAACAATCAAAGTTGTTTGAGATGTACGACACGTGAAGGGCCTGAAGAAAAATTTATTATCCTACGGATTGTTGGATAATAATGCAAGCAAGATTGAGACACAGAAAGGAATCATGAAGGTGTTCCGTGGAGCGCTTGTGGCGCTGAAAGGCGAAAAGATAGCAGCAAACTTGTACATACTGAAGGGAGAGACTTTGCTAGAAGCAGAAGCCTCTGTTGCCTCATGTAGTTCAGATTTTGCAATGTTATGGCATCAGAAACTTGGACACATGTCAGAATAAGGAATGAAAGTCCTTGTGGAGCAAAAACTACTTCTAGGCTTAACAAAGGTATCACTTACTTTGTGTGAGCACTGCATAACAAGTAAGCAGCACCGGTTGAAATTCAACACATCAAATTCTAGAGGCAAAAGTGTTCTAGAATTGGTTCACTCTGATGTATGGCAAGCACCGGTTACATCCATTGGCGGAGCAAATACTTTGTCTCTTTTATTGATGACTACTCCAGGAGATGTTGGGTGTACCTTATTAAAAAGAAGTCAGACGTGTTTTCAACTTTCAAAAACTTCAAAGCGCGGGTGGAACTTGATTCTGGAAATAAGATCAAGTGTTTCAGAACAGATAATGGAGGAGAATACACAAGCGAAGAATTTGATGACTTTTGCAGGAAAGAATGCATCAAAAGACAGTTCACAGTGACGAACACTCCTCAATAAAATAGAGTGGCAGAGTTGATGAACAGAACCTTGTTAGAAAGAACAAGAGCAATGTTGAGAGATGCAGGCCTAGAAAAATCATTCTGGGCAGAAGCAGTCAATACCGCCTGTTATTTGGTGAATCGAGCTCCATCAATTGCATTAGAGCTGAAGACACCAATGGAGATGTGGACTGGTAAACCAGCTGATTATTCAAACCTCCATGTATTTGGAAGTATCGTGTACGTGATGTACAACTCCCAAGAAATTTCAAAGCTGGATCCAAAATCCAGGAAATGAAAATTCTTGGGGTATGTTGATGAAGTAAAGGGGTATCGCTTGTGGGATCCCACTGCCCGCAAAGTGATCATCAGCAGGGATGTTATCTTTGTAGAGGATAAACTACAAAGAAAAGAGAGGATGATAGCGCTGAAAAGTCAGAGACTACTCAGATACATGTGGAAAAGGAGGTTGAACAATGAGATTCTTCTGAAGCAGAACCAGCACATGATGAACAAGAACCAGAGAGTTCTGAAGCTCCAACAACTCGTCAATCAAATCGTGTGAGAAGACGTCCCAATTGGCACTCAGATTATGTTATAGAAGGTAATATTGCATACTGCCTTTTAACAGAGGACGGTGAGCCATCAACATTTCAGGAGGCAATAAACAGCTCAGATGCTTTACTGTGGATGATGACGATGCAAGAAGAAATCGAAGCCCTTCATAAAAATAATACATGGGACCTTGTTCCACTACCACAAGGAAGGAAGCCAATTGGTAACAAATGGGTCTTCAAAATCAAGCGAAATGGTGATGATCAAGTGGAGAGGTATCGTGCAAGACTGGTGGTCAAAGGATATGCTCAAAAGAAGGTATTGATTTCAATGAAATATTTTCTCCTGTGGTTCGACTAACAACAGTTCGAGTAGTTTTGGCAATGTGTGCTACATTGAACTTACATCTAGAGCAGCTAGATGTTAAAACAACTTTTCTTCATGGAAATCTTGAAGAAGAGATTTACATGCTCCAGCCTGAAGGTTTTGAAGAAAAAGAAAAGAAGAACTTGGTTTGCAGGTTGAACAAATCTCTATACGGTCTAAAGCAGGCACCGAGGTGTTGGTATAAGAGATTTGATTCCTTCATTATGTGCCTTGGATACAACAGACTTAATGCAGACCCTTATGCTTATTTCAAGAGGTCTGGTAATAACGATTTTGTTATATTGCTGTTGTATGTGGATGACATGTTGGTTGCAGGACCCAACAAAGATCATATTGAAGAATTGAAGACACAACTGGCTAGGGAATTTGAAATGTAGGACTTGGGATCAGCAAACAAGATTCTAGGGATGCAAATTCACCGAGACAGAAGTAATAGGAAGATTTGGCTTTCACAAAAGAATTACTTGAAGAAGATTTTGTCACGATTTAGCATGCAAGATTGTAAGCCAATTTCTACCCCTCTTCCTATTAACTTCAAATTATCCTCCAGTATGAGTCCTAGCAGTGAAGAAGAGAGGATGAAGATGTCTCGAGTACCGTATGCATCAGCAGTGGAAAGTTTAATATTCGCTATGATATGCACAAGACCAGACATTGCACAAGCAGTGGGAGTGGTTAGTCGGTACATGGCGAATCTAGGCAAAGAGCATTGGAATACAGTGAAGAGGATCCTGAGATACATCAAAGGGACCTCAAATGTTGCATTATGTTACGGAGGATCAAATTTACTAATCAATGGGTATGTAGATTCTGACTATGCAGGGGATTTGGATAAGAGTAATCTACTACAGGATATGTGTTCAAAGTTGCTAGTGGAGCTGTAAGCTGGGAGAATAAGTAGTATGGCTTCAAGGCTTCCTCAGTTCCTCTTAACTTCCCATCGTGAGAAAGAATCTATTGATTGAAGACCCCCAACTTTTGTTTTCTTCTTTCTGTTTTTAATTCAGGGTTTTTTAAACCAGACCGGTTAACGAACCGAACATACTACCGGTTTATTGGTTCAACGGTTGAATCAGTTCGATCGGTCGGAAGAACCGGACGACATCATAATTATTTAAAAAATTAAATTAAAATATTAAAATATTTAATAAAAAATAATTTTTATATCACAAGTCATATTCAAAGCAATTCATAACATATATATATATAAGTTAAAAACCATAAAATCAAGTGAAACAAAATGATTCAAATTAACTACAACATAATATTTAAGGTAAACCATATTAAATAATAAATATAATTATATAACTATAATCAAAAAATAAATTTGGGACTAAAAAAATCATAACAAAATGATATTTGTTTGGTTTAATTTTTTTTAAACAATCTTACATGACTAAGAAACATAGAAGAGCATCCCAAAAGTTTAAAGAGTAAAAATATGAGAACAAAACAATCTCAAATGGCTAAGAAACTTTGAGCATCCCAACTAACTTCTATAAATAATAGAGGTAATTTGACATTCAAAATCATGGAACCTTTTGGTGAGCATTGAGTGAACTATTCTTTCACTTCAATCAAGCTCGAATTTTAGGCTTCAATCGAGCTTCTAATTTTTTTTTGAGTTCAAGTTTCAATATTATATTTCGAGTTTGAGTTGAACTTGATAATTTTTAGCTCTTGAGTTTGAGTCGAGTTGAACTTACTTTTAAAGTTTTCAAGTTCGAGTCGAGCTCAGCAATACTCGAGTTCGACTTGGCTCGTTTAACAAACGACGTCGTTTGGTTTAATTTTTTTAAAAAAAAACTAAAATTAACGGTTTTTTCCGGTTTTCAGCCGGTCCGGTTCGACCGGTTCAGCGGTTCTGACCGGTTCACTAGTAGCGGTTCACTAGTAGCGGTTCAACCGGTGTAGATTGAAACGGACTAGACAACAGTTTCCGGTTAAACCGGTTGAACCGACCGATCCGATCTGATTTTCAAAACACTCGCTTTTTTTACATTTTAGATGCGTACCAAGAGAAAAGTAGAATTTTTAACTTGGGTTTTGGCGCCCATAAGCTTTATTTCTTTTATTTTTTTTACTAAGCTTTGAGCCCATAAGTTTAATTCTGTTTTTCACTAAGGTTTAAGCCCATAATTGATTATAATTTCTACTCAACAAAAAATGAATAGCCCAAATTTACATAAGCTTAAATCAGCGTAAACAATTCTCACTCGCATCAATATGTCAGAACTTTTCATGCCGTATTTAGGTTCTTAATATTGACAACTGAAGAGTCAAACATTTAGATATATACCAGCACTCAACACCCATACACGAGTCTACCCAACATAGGCTTAGATTAGTCTCTTAAAAAGTATTATAGAAGATATAAACAATAAACATCCAAAAGTACATCACCCGTGTCCGACCAACAATGAGGGCCGAAAGCAGAATCAAATAATGAACAAAAATCAGGTTGTATAACTTCAAAAAAATCAGGGACCTATTGAGTATTTAAACCTAAAAAAAGGGGGCAAGGCTTAGATTAATTAAATTTAAATTAATATGGACCAAAAATACCACTGGACAAAAAAGTTTAAACTATAATTGCATGATACGTTGGTGAAAGTTTTACGATGCGACACCTTTAATATACGGTTAAAAAAATATTGATTTTGTTATTATTTAAATAACAAAATCAGTAAAAAATTACTTTAAAATATTATTATTTCTACCTAAAACATCAATATTTTTTAATATTTTGGTAAAATATCTAATAATAACAAAATTGATAACGTTTTATCAGTTTTGATAATAAACTCGATAAAATATCTAATAATAACAAAATTGATAAAAATAATAATGTTTCTAATAAATTTTTATCAATTTTATTATTTAATAATAACAAAATCGATAATATTTTTTTTAACCGTATACGAAGGCACGTGGTCATTTCCCAATTCGTTGCCTCCCTATATAAAATTCTTAAAAGGAAGAAGCCTCCCCTGAGCTGAAGATACTTAAAGTGAAACCATCCAATTTAAAAGGTCAGATGG